AATAGAGTTGCATTTATAATCCAAAGTCGAGTTTATTTTTATTCCAATCGTCTATAATAAATTTTATTCGCATGTTTAGTCTAATTAATCAAATCTAACCCGCCCCTTCGTGTGTACTTTAATTAATCGTTCTTGTACTTAAATTCTTTGGCAATAATAAGTAAAAACCAAGTCCCTGTGGATTCGACCCAACTTACCGCTATTACAATTTTGATTGTAATCGGCTAATGATTGGAACTTATTATTTGGTGGACTCGACATCCGTCAAATTTTTGACGCCGCTGTTGAGGATTCGGTGCATTTAATCGTTTATGCCAAAATCTTCTCGTGCAGGTTCACCTTTGTCACTTAATTTAGAAATAGAACGGACCGCAAAGTGACTTACGAAACAAGCCAAGCTTTGAAAGAAGTTAGGTGAGGGAACTTCGTCGCTAGGGATAAATATCTGGCAAGATATTTCATGATCATTGGGTTTTATGCCATTGAATTAGTGAATTCCATTCAATTTTACGGTATAAACCCTTTATTTTGATTGCATTTACACTATAAGTCCTTAGAATTTAACAAATATCAATTTTTATTTATTTATTATTATTACACTTCTAAATTTTTTCATGCATCATAATTACTAAAATAAATATGATCATCATTAGCATAATGTTGCTATTTATTTCTTCTTACTTTTAGGATTAGTAACTAGAAGTTGTATGTTTTAATGTTTTTAATTAAAATTTAGGATTAAAACGGATACTAAACTTTTTTATGTTTCTTTAGTACTTGTGAACGTCTTTACGTTTCTTATTATTTGTTTAGTTTTTGGCATTACAAACTACGTCATGAAATTAATAATGAACGAATAATCTTTTGTGAACATTTTTATTCGTGAAATAATGATCTTTTATGAACATGTTTAATTTATGAAAAATTATAATTTTTGGTAAACATGTTCGATTAAATGTACAATGTCTAAATGATAAAGTTATTGTAACTAAAAGTACAATGCCGTAATAGGAAACTATGATGGTATAATAGAATAATTAAAAAAACACAATATTGTAATAAGAAATGTCACATCAACAATATGGTATATGTGGGCAATGGGGTGACATGGAAACCTAATATAACGGATAAATTTTAATCAAAAGGTTACTCAATATTATAATGGATGAATTTTTCAAAACACAATGTCCTAATAAAAATAATTTGAATGTACATTATTGTAATAAGAAAACTAAAAGTTGTAGTTATTTTTATTAATCGTGATATGATAATCTCTTTAATAATCGTATCAATCATATATGATAATTGTATATAAAAGATTTTGAATTAATTAAAACTAAAAAATAAATGAAATTAAAATTATAATGGGATTTTTAAGGGATTCAAATAGAGTTTCGTTACAATTATACCTTTAATAGAGTATTTGACCCAATTCAAAATGATGATTATCCTAATTTTTAAAATTGTTTTTCATTTTTTATTTATAATGTTTTTAAATGGATTATGTGGTTTAGAATGTTTAACCGTCTTCTCGTTTGAACCACAAAAGGGTTTCAAACCCGTGAAAACCTATATATAAATATTTTTACATGATTTTTTCACCAGAAACTATGATTTAAGGTATTGTTTTACGTATGTTTGCATTCACTTTGTAAAAATATTATATACGAAACTTTTTTTTGTTCACTTAGTAAAATAAAAAATACACGTAAAAGAGTTTCACATGATAAAACAAATATACGTGAATCAATATCTCAAATCTTATTATTTGATGGAAAGAGAAAATCATGTTAATAAATATTTTTAAATCAGATAACATTCAAATTTAATTATATATATATATATATATATATATATATATATAGGGAAGGGTTCAAACGAGAACCCCTGTGATTTACGAGAATGCGAGAACAACCCAATAACCACATATTGTGATAAAAAATAAAATTAAAAGGTTTTTAAAACTAAAATTGAAATTTAAAAAGATTCAGAAAATATTAAAATTAAAAGAGTAATAATGGAAATGATATCATAAAATCTTTTAAAACTATTACACGATCATGATTATCATTATCTAATAAACGGTTAATCATGTGATATGGGTGTGATAATCATGTGATTATCACACAATTATCACATTATCACTTATATCAACACGATTTGGTGTGATTTGGGTGTGATA